TCTCTTTTCTCTCTTATTATAGTTGTTTTTATCAAGCTTCGTCCTTTTTAGGACGAAAAAAAAATAATTTTGTGTTATTTGAAGCCCCACCCTGGCTTTTTGCCAGGGGCCGCAATATAGGCAGGCCATAAATATGGCCAGTTGTCTGAACGCGGTTTCTGGGACCTCTCCACGGTGATCCTCATCCACATGGTGGCACTTTGTGTCATCGGGTGTTTATTGCTTTGTGACGTCCTGGTGGGGTAGAAAGTCAGTCAGTCTTTCCTCTCAACACTGAACCATCTGTATAGATAATCAGATCACCTGGGCGTGAATTGTTATGAATCAAATGTTGGACTTCAACATCCGTGCACTCTCTGGCCGCTCTCTGCACACCCGGCCCAATGTTATCATAACCCTACGCAGGCCAGACTTTCCCGCTGGTACTCTGACCCACTCCTTTCCTCGCATTATGTTCTCCAGCAGGCATACTTGGCTTTTTGCGTTTTCTGCTTGAGCCATCAACGATTTTCCCCTTTTCAGCTTCTGATCCTTGCCTGCAGCCGAAGCTTCATACAGAGGGTGTTCTCTGTCTGCAGCTTCTCTGAGGTATGACTTAGCCTGCAGTAGAACTGCATATATAAATAATCGATTTTAAGCAAACTCACGATAGAAGAAGAAGAAGAAGAAGAAGAAGAAGAAGAAAGAAAGAAAGAAGAAGATATTGAAAGCAGTTAACTCATAGGCAGAACGAATTACTTACACAAAACAAGCCGCAGAATTTGGGCATGCCATGACAACGTAACAACTAAAAGTAGAAGACAGCCTGGTGAATACACTGAAAGGCAATTTTGAATAATCTGAGATCAAGACATGTAGAAAGTTTGTATCACAAGTGCCGCCTGTACACGTTTACCGGCACCACGTAATATCTACAATGAGAAGTGACATTTTTGTTTAGTTTTTAAAATAAATTATTTTTAAATAGAACCTTATAGGTTCTCTAATTTCACTGCCGTGTGTTCGTAAGCTTTTGCTAAGGATTTATTGTTGCTTTTGCTTTAGCAAGGTAAACTTTTAAAAAAAAAGTCCAATCTTCACTGCTAGAAGTGATTTTAGCTTATGATGCTAGATTAATGTTTGCATAGACGAGTCAACATTTAAAGGATTATGTGTCAGGTTACTAGTTATCAGTATCAATATTTCTAGCACAACAGTCCGATCCATTCATGCTCCTTCTTCTGTGCTGCAGTCACATCCATGTTCACCGTACCAAGCAGGAGATGAGTGGAATCTCACCCGTATCTGCCCAGCAACGGTTTCAGTACTTGCTGAACAGCCGTTTCCAGCAGTCAGGTCATTGTCCCTGAATTCTTCGTCTCATCGCCACGTAGGATATAGCTACTTTAGCCAAACTGCCAATGCCAATGCCAGTTGTCCAAGAAAAATTCCAAACTTGATCCTCTTTCAGCCGCCCGGAGGCCTGCTATATCGAAGAAGGGTCCTTTGCTGTCTTATGTGGTTTCCTTTTATTTGTGGTGTGTAGTCACACCTGATATTATGGTTGTTTGCTTCCTTGCTGTGCTGCGTTGTTTGCGGTTTTGAGTTCTGGTGTGATCCAGATCTCTTTGCGATGATATTGAAGGGTACTAGCTGACTGTTGCTGGTGCTTGGTTTGCCTCGTGCTGGTCGCTGTGATGGTGCCCTGTTGCTGCTTGGTTGCCGATCTAAAAGCCGCCGGAAAAAGCCAAACAAACATCCGTTGCGCCGTCGATACGAACAATGTTCCTTTTCATGACAAACAGGGCCGTCACAATCTGTTGTTGTGATCGGCCCCCCCCCCCCCCCCCCCCAAAAAAAAAAATTTTTTTTTTTTTTTTCACGGAGTGTGGAGAAGTAGTGGAGGTAAGATAGACTGCAAATGAGAGGTCAGTTTGCCCGAATGTGCCAGTAGATGTGATAGTGAGGTCGGGAGAATGAGAGTGACAGATAGAGGCAGGATCCACCCTGGTCGTCTGAAGTCACTTGGTCTGAAATACAATAGAAATGCATTTATTAATATACACGTGGGGTGGGGTGGGGTGGCATGACGGTGACTGGAGTTCCCAAGTGCTGGTCGCCTTAGGTGCAATGCCCTCGGTTGTCTGCGTCGGAGCGTCGGGCGGCCTGTGGTATTTTCCGTTGTCTTCTTTTTTCTGAAAATAAACTAGATTTAGATTTTGGTTAGTTCAATGGTGATTACGTGATTATTTGCCAGTGGGGCGGAGCGGGTGGGAGTGGCTCCGGTACGTCGACCCGCTGTCCGGTTGGTGGTTGTTTGTTTTAGGCTGTCCTTAAAGATGGCGGCTTGTTTGGTGGGCTCTTTCTGTGGCTCTTTAGAATTGGCGGTTGCCTCTTCTATTCTGCTTTTTCTTTGGCGCCCGGAGCTGGTCCAGGGCTGCGTTTAACTAGTCGCAGAGTCGGCCAGCTCTATTGCTCTTTTCAAGCAGTTCAGGTGTTTCGCCTTCATCTCCGTATTCCTCGAAAGAGTAGCCGACAACGTAGTGGTCGACCTCGTCGAAATACTCCAGCGTGTGCGGAGCCGCCTGCTTGTTGTAATCTTCAACCCTCGCTTTAAGGTCGCCGAAGCTAGTTATTTTGGCTGCTGCTGTTTGGCTCACGCGTGGGGTGGCTAGCAGTCTGATAGGTGCCTCGCTTCGTTCTTCGTTTGTCGCGGTGTCTGTCATCTGTGCCTGGTGTTGCGTCATTACTGTCTCGGTAGCTGTGCTGTTGTCGGCTTTGTTGATAATCGGTTGCTTTACAATTTTTCTGGAAGCCTCTCTTTCTTTCTGAAGCAGGGCGCGCTCGGTTCTTGCCGCCAGCACTGCAGCTTCGGCTCCTGCCTTTGCTTGGATCATGAGGGCGACTTCTTTATAAGTGCTTTCTCGGGCTTCCTTAAGTGTTTCGGTTTCCTTTCTTCTCTCCTTCCTTTCTTCTTGTCGGCGGGTCTCATCTGCAGCTTTTTCTGCTTGCAATTTTAGTGTCATTTCTGTCAGGTTTTTCTGCATTTGTGTAGCCTCTGCAAGCCACTTTGTTTGCTGCAGGACTTGTTCTTCTCTGTCGTCTTTCAAGGCTTTGATTTCGTCACGCGTCTGCGAGATCATGTCTAGCAACTGCGTTCTGTCAGCGTCGGTGTTGGTGGCGTCCGTTTTTTCTTTGCAGAGAGCCCTGATTTCAGCTAGCAACTTTGTTTGCTGCGAAGCTTGTTCTTGTCTGTCGTCTTTCAGGGCTTTGATTTCGTCACGCATCTGCGAAATCATGTCTAGCAACTGCGTTCTGTCAGCGTCGGTGTCGGACTTTTCTTTGCGGAGAGCTCTGATTTCAGCTAAAATTTCAGACATTTGTAGCGAGATTTCAGGGTCCTTTGTGGCTGTGATCGCCTTGTCGGTTAGTCTGTCTGTTGTCCGTTGTGCTGGCTTCCCACTTGGTTGCTTTGGTGCGGCTGAGGACCTGGGTGCCACGTATCTCTGTCTAGTTGCTTCTTGCTCAGTTCTGAGTGTCCTCTTGCACTGCTGGAGATACGGGCAGCCCATGTATCTCGCCCCGTGCGCACCAGAACAGTTGGAGCACTTACGGTTGCTGTCCGGTTTTTTAAAGTTAGTGTCAATTTTAGCCAGCGGGCATTCCTTGAATTCGTGCGCACCAGAACAGTATCTGCACGAAAGGCTGCTGCGACAGGACGAAGCTGTATGCCATGCCCTATTGCAGCGCGAGCTCTGCATGATGTCTGGTGTGCTGGTCTCAGGCTGCCGCTGCTTGCGTTGGCGAGGGGGTCCTTGCGTCGCTACTGAGGCAGCATCAGGCACCCCTGAAGGGTCGGCTCCCGGGGGAGCGGCCCCCTGTGCTGGTGATCCTGGTGTTTCAATCGTAGTGGGCGCAGTGTCCATTTTCTACGGCGATTAAAAAAGTTCTCGAATTTATTTAGAGGTTAAACGCACGCCCTAGGTTTCGGTTTAGAAAGTTTATAATGTAAATTATAATTACCTAGGGCGTTGTTCCTTCCTCTGTTGATTCTTGTAGATCTTTGTTGCTGGTAGTTGTCGTTGGCTAGGTGCGTACACGGGCTGCTAATGACCCACCCGCAGCCGATTCCGATAGTTTAGTCGAGACAGACTCAGCCGAATATCAAGCGATTCTGTCCAGTAGCTAGCTATCGAAAATCAGGCAACGAATGGATAGTTAGCGGGCAACGTGTTCAGGCAAGGCGGGCTTGAGCGTTCAACGTCTTGCTCGGGCGAAAGCTGTCAGCGAAGTGGATTAAAATACGCCTGGTTCTTAGCCAAACTGCCAATTACTGCCTTTATATACCACTTCTGCGGTGTAGGCAGTGGGGTCTTTTGAGAATGAGGATTTAAGGCCGCATGGCTAGTGCTTTCGCCGCTACAGTGCAGGTAAGGATTTTATTTTTTCCCCTCGACAGAAAAAAAAAATCTCCAGCCTTACCAAGGATTCGAACCCGGGTCTCCCGCAAGAGAGCCCTGTGTTCTAACCGGTTGGTCAGCCGCTTCTCATAGCTACCTTTTTCTCAATATATATATATATATATATATATATATATATATATATATATATATATATATATATATATATATATATATATATATATAGACTGCACAATGTATTGCCTGGCATATCTCGCTGATCTCGACAAGTGTGTACTACAGTAAATAAAAGAAGCCAAAAAAAAATTGATTTCGCTATGACTGAAGTACACATTCAACAGTACTTGAGTTCTTTGTTCAAATTTACAATGGGGAAACATTGCTTTGATAAAATGTGTATATTGTGTTTAAAACAGTGTAGAAGATCTGTGCTTGCAATGATCTTATAATATCTTCTACTCTCCAGGTCTCGTGTATATCATATAACATAAAGTCAAAAGTGGAAAACTACGACTCACATCAAATCAAACCCACTGAAAGCCATCAACGACTTTGATTTTACGTTGAACCTAATACAAAGCTGCACCGTTGCTCACAACTATGATTTTTCAGTACAAAAAACGAAAATGGATTTATATAGTAGTCATTTTTCTACCTGCTGCTGTATTCATGCTACTGTCAATTAATAGTTTAGGTGGTAAAATGAACATTGAAATGATGCAGTCATTGTTTAGTGGTCAGTGGAATGAGATGAAACCGTCATGCATTAACGTGTTAGACAATATGGTCTTGGGAAGTTGGGAAAAAGACAAGCTCAAAGAGGCTGAGATGGCTGCAGTGGTAAACTTCCATAAAAAAATCAGAGCGTATCATGGGATAAACGTGAATTTACAACATAAAGATAATATATGTGGTAAGTTGTTTATATGGCTATTTACCTTTAAAAAAAGTAACTGTCTATGTAATGTCTGTACAGTATATGTTACCTTAATTTTGGTTATGCCTGAAGAATGCGTGTTACCTTTGTTTGGTATATGTAACCAGCTAAATATTGTATTCATATATATTGTGTGCGTTTGCTTTGCATATATATATATATATATATATATATATATATATATATATATATATATATATATATATATATATATATATGGGTGTATAAAAGACATATTATATTGTAAACGTTTGGTTTATGCACTTAACTGAATAAATACATATACCACACATTATATTAACATCCTTTGATCCGTGTGCAAAGCTAAGTAATGCTTATACAATAAATGTTATACTGGTTTAGTATATGCGGCTAGCGTGGTAAAGCAGGCTAGCTGAATAATGTCTATAGAATATACGTTACACTGGATCTCCAAAAGCATGTCGTAAGAGTCGACTAATTGGGAGTTTACTTAGAAGTCAGAGTGAATCTGTCTGAGTGGCAATGAACCAAGGGTCTGCATACAATAAGTCAGATCTGTAAAGCAGATATGCACTCAACACTCAGGTTCTCGAATAGGACTAGAGTTCAGAAGTAGATTAACAACCACAACTGTGGACATGTGGGTGTAAATTAAGTAGGTTTTTGTAATTGTTACAATGCAGTGGTCAATTATGTCAAAAAATATATTTGTGAGCATAGCACTTGATTCTTGTGTGATTCCAGTAGTAACCTATGGATGCGAGAGCGGGAAATCAACGAAAACTCTAGACACAAAATTATACATTTTTGAAAATAAATGCCTTAGAAGAATACTAAATTTCAAATAGTCAGATTTCCGAACCAATACACAAATAAGGCAAGAATCCAGGCAAGAGTATGTGTCTAATTTTATACGAAAACGCCGCTGGAACTTTGTCGGCCACGCCCTTAGAATGGATAAATCAAGACTTCCTTACCAAGCCCTCATTTGGACACCACAGGGGAAAAGATCTCGTGGAAGACCAAGGGAAACTCTACGTAGAACTATCATCAGGGAAGGCTCGCTCATGGGCCACTCAAACATCCAAGACCTACAACAGATTGCAACGAACCGCCATGCATGGAGAGTCATGACCTCTGCCCTATGTGCCGCACTCGACACAAGAGGAAAGACTAATAGCTCTTGAGGCGCGCACGAAAAAAAGTAACACAATTTGGGGGAAAACACTGTTCACTGCCTACGCAATTGAAACCCTATAAAAGGATAACGCTACACCCAACAGTTTGTTTTCAAGCTGTCACAAATGGCGTATTTATTGAAATCAAAGTCAGGTTGCCAGGCCTCTAACCGTGCATCAGAGTACCAGAAGTTGACTTTGGCATAGGATCTAAACCACCGGTTCAGTTGAAGACGACATCGCAGTGAATGACCCAAATTTTAAACCGCGGTGGAGAATGGCTTTATTCGGCTTCGTCACCGCAGAGACAGGTTTTCAACAGCTTCTTCAGCTGCGCAGGCATTGCCTTCAGGACGTCATGTGTCTGACTGCATGAGGTTGGATTTTGGACACGACGACCACACGGAGAGCCTGTCCGTCCTTACGCGTCTCCACCGCCAATATCGACATGTTTAGGTCAACCAACATCGTTCCTAGGCAGGTGACAATCAATGGAGACGTGTCTGGGTCATTGACGAATCTTTCTTTTTGTTGCAGCGTCATGACAGACGGCGAAGGATCAACTGTAGGCGAAATGAAGGTTTAGCCCAAAATTGTGTTGATGAAGCTCTGCTGCACGGTGGTAGAGGCGTAATGATGTGGGGAATGATAAGTTACAAGGGAAGGTGTCAATTGCTGCACACTTTGGAAAATACCCTCCCATTTTTTTATGCCAACAGATGACTTTTTAAAAAGAACAACACCAGACCCCATTCTGCACGGTTGACCACTCAGTTCCTGGCTGCCAATAACATTCACACCCTTCCCTGGTCATTCCTGTTTGCAGACATGAGTCCAACTTAGTACCTGTGGGATGATCTGCAAAGACGTGTTTGTCGCTGAGATGCTGCTCCAAACAATGGTCGTAATCTGTTCAAGGTACTCCAGGAAGAGTGGGCAGCCATCCCACAGCCCAAATCAGACATCTGATCACATCCATGCCCAGGAGAAGCCAGTTACTGAT